ACTCTTGTTTTTCTGCATGTATGATGTCTGGTTTGGGCATTTCTGTGCTGACTCAGTGACACATTTGTTTTAAACTAGACTGTAATAAAGCAACAAGCAGGTAACAATAAGGAAAAAAGGTGTTGGATGGGGTTGAGGTACAACTAACCTGAACATATATGGACATAATCAACAGACTCCACTTTCCTGGGTGTGTGAGTCTTGGGGTGATGACTTCCTCTTTTTGCATGAAGCTGCAGTTTATAAGATCGCGCTTCTCTGGTTCTCTCATTGTTAAGACTTTGGTGCGTTGAGCAGTTAGTAACTGAGTGAGGAAGCCGTTTACAGCTGAGATCCAGAGTCGGTTTTGGTGCCGTGCAGCATTTGAAGATGTGGACGAGTGTCTCTGCCAGTCGCTGGATTTGTCTGCTCACCCTGGCTGTGGTGATGCTCTTCTACGTATCAGAAGGTAAAACTGAACTCATGTTTTAATGTTGCTCACTGTGTTTTGTGAAATGTGTGCAGGTATCTAACACAGAAATGGGGGAAACAGTAACAATAAAAAGCTACAGTATAGAGAGTAGAGACTGAATAATTAGTTAATTAATCGGTCAGTCAATTTAAAGAAAATTAATGAGCAACTATTTCTGTGATTTTTCAAGCAAAGATTACAAATATTTGCTTGTTCCAGGTTCTTAATCAGAAGACTTTCTCATACTTATATCAGTATTAAAACAGCTCTAATATTATGACAATCTTAAGGATTATAATGGTATCATTATGAGGATCAATACCTCACTATTTTAGACAATGGTAACTATTCAGTGGGCACTATTTGAATGTTTTCTTTAAGTCAATAAACTGCCATACACAAAGAATACTCTACTTTATCTAGTTGGTATCATAGCTTAAATATAATCATGGCCTCTGACCTTCAATTAAAGACATTTCTGAATTAAAATTAAAAGATAATCTGGCCACAATAACACTATTTGGTTCAGACAATAGAAAAGCAGTACCAGCAGTAATTGAAGTGTAACTATGGCTACATTGTGTCTTGGAGTAATCATATTTCATGGTACCGCCCGGTATGTAACAGGTCACTCTTACTTTATCTCAATAACTATTGATATAATGCTGAATAATGACAATATTTCCTCTCTTTGTGTGTGTGTGTCTGGTGTTGCAGTGGATTCCCAATATTCAACTTTGAGTTTACCCTGTTGTCCCAAGAGCAGCAACCAGAAGAGAAAAATCCAAAAGTGTTATGAACAAAAACCACGAAAGGGCTGCGACCACCACGCCTTCCTGTAAGCACGGCACTTCATTTAGGTCTGATTCGGTTGCACAAGGGAATCTGTGAAATAAAAAATGTTTGTATGATTCCCAAAAACAGCCTGTGCTCTAATAAATTCAAAATGACCAAAACATTCAGATAATGAAAATGTCTAATTGGTTTGTGTCTCTGTTTCCAGGATCATCACCACGAGAAATAAAATAATGTGCATCAATCCAGCTGCGACGTGGATCAAAGACGAGATAGAGAAGGTGAGAATCAGACATCCACCCAGTCCGTCACAAACACAACAGCAAAGTCTGAATTCATGTGTTAAATACCAGAGCAGATAAATTACTGGGTCATCATATTGTGCTCAATTCAAAAGGTCTGCTTTAAAGGATAATGAGTTTATACATTTTTAAATTTGTGATTTTCACTTTGAAACATTCATTTTAGTTGCAGTTAGTATTACTACTTTTATTTAAGTAAATCATCTCAATACCTCTTCCACACCGCTGTTCTAACAACACCCTGTAATTACTCATTAATTAAGTACAATTATGACTAGGTTAATGACTGTAACTCTTTCACACGCTCGCCAATGTGAGACGATCTTTTCTCTTAAAGTTTCCCAGAAGTCTGAACCATTATTGGTCAATAACTTCTGGATTTAAAATAGAAACACTGATCAAAAATAAAGGAGGTGTAAAATACCAACCCACATGTTTGCGTGTGTGAAGCTGGTGGAGAATCACGTCACAGCTATTCCTACTGACTGGTTGGTGGAAAGACAAGTACTAGAAGAAGCTGTAAATAAAAATAACAGTCAGTTTGTCAGTACAATACATAAACAAGTATTCCTGATTTTCTATGGACTAATTGTACATTTCTAACATTTCACTCTCCTTCTCTACATTACAGGGAAAATTGCACTGCCCTTCTGTTATATCGAGCTCTGGAAGATGATGTGGCATGATCAAAACGTCTCCACAATGCAGTTGTATCCCAATACAAGTTATTTTTGTATTTAATTTTATACAGCTTTAAAAACTGTATGTTGCATTATTTTGTAAAGCAGTTGACAATAACAGTGATGGCAGAGACTTTTTGAACCTGGAACCATGAATAAATAAATAAAACATGACTGAATGATCACTGACTCTTGTTTTTCTGCATGTATGATGTCTGGTTTGGGCATTTGTGTGCTGACTCAGTGACACATTTCTTTTAAACTAGACTGTAATAAAGCACCAAGCAGGTAACAATAAGAAAAAAACGTGTTGGATGGGGTTGAGGTACAACTAATCTGAACATATATGGACATGATCAACAGACTCCACTTTCCTGGGTGTGTGGGTCTTGGGGTGATGACTTCCTCTTTTTGCATGAAGCTGCAGTTTATAAGATCGCGCCTCACTCAGAGTTAAGAGTTTGGTGCGTTGAGCAGTTAGTAACTGAGTGAGGAAGCCGTTTACAGCTGAGATCCAGAGTCGGTTTTGGTGCCGTGCAGCATTTGAAGATGTGGACGAGTGTCTCTGCCAGTCGCTGGATTTGTCTGCTCACCCTGGCTGTGGTGATGCTCTTCTACGTATCAGAAGGTAAAACTGAACTCATGTTTTAATGTTGCTCACTGTGTTTTGTGAAATGTGTGCAGGTATCTAACACAGAAATGGGGGAAACAGTAACAATGAAAGCTACAGTATAGAGAGTAGAGATTGAATTATTAGTTAATTAATCGGTCAGTCAATTTAAAGAAAATTAATGAGCAACTATTTCTGTGATTTTTCAAGCAAAGATTACAAATATTTGCTTGTTCCAGGTTCTTAATCAGAAGACTTTCTCATACTTATATCAGTATTAAAACAGCTCTAATATTATGACAATCTTAAGGATTATAATGGTATCATTATGAGGATCAATACCTCACTATTTTAGACAATGGTAACTATTCAGTGGGCACTATTTGAATGTTTTCTTTAAGTCAATAAACTGCCATACACAAAGAATACTCTACTTTATCTAGTTGGTATCATAGCTTAAATATAATCATGGCCTCTGACCTTCAATTAAAGACATTTCTGAATTAAAATTAAAAGATAATCTGGCCACAATAACACTATTTGGTTCAGACAATAGAAAAGCAGTACCAGCAGTAATTGAAGTGTAACTATGGCTACAGTGTGTCTTGGAGTAATCATATTTGATGGTACCGACCTGGTATGTAACAGGTCACTCTTACTATATCGATTACTGAATAACTATTGATATAATGCTGAATAATGACTGTATTTTTCTCTCTTGTGTGTGTGTGTCTGGTGTTGCAGTGGATTCCCAATTTTCAACTTTGAGTTTACCCTGTTGTCCCAAGACCAGCAACCAGAAGAGAAAAATCCAAAAGTGTTATGAACAAAAACCACGAAAGGGCTGCGACCACCACGCCTTCCTGTAAGCACGGCACTTCATTTAGGTCTGATTCGGTTGCACAAGGGAATCTGTGAAATAAAAAATGTTTGTATGATTCCCAAAAACAGCCTGTGCTCTAATAAATTCAAAATGACCAAAACATTCAGATAATGAAAATGTCTAATTGGTTTGTGACTCTGTTTCCAGGATCATCACCACGAGAAATAAAATAATGTGCATCAATCCAGCTGCAACGTGGATCAAAGACGAGATAGAGAAGGTGAGAATCAGACATCCACCCAGTCCGTCACAAACACAACAGCAAAGTCTGAATTCATGTGTTAAATACCAGAGCAGATAAATTACTGGGTCATCTTATTGTGCTCAATTCAAAAGGTCTGCTTTAAAGGATAATGAGTTTATACATTTTTAAATTTGTGATTTTCACTTTGAAACATTCATTTTAGTTGCAGTTAGTATTACTACTTTTATTTAAGTAAATCATCTCAATACCTCTTCCACACCGCTGTTCTAACAACACCCTGTAATTACTCATTAATTAAGTACAATTATGACTAGGTTAATGACTGTAACTCTTTCACACGCTCGCCAATGTGAGACGATCTTTTCTCTTAAAGTTTCCCAGAAGTCTGAACCATTATCGGTCAATAACTTCTGGATTTAAAATAGAAACACTGATCAAAAATAAAGGAGGTGTAAAATACCAACCCACATGTTTGCGGGTGTGAAGCTGGTGGAGAATCACGTCACAGCTATTCCTACTGACTGGTTGGTGGAAAGACAAGTACTAGAAGAAGCTGTAAATAAAAATAACAGAGTCAGTTTGTCAGTACAATACATAAACAAGTATTCCTGATTTTCTATGGACTAATTGTACATTTCTAACATTTCACTCTCCTTCTCTACATTACAGGGGAAATTGCACTGCCCTTCTGTTATATCGAGCTCTGGAAGATGATGTGGCATGATCAAAACGTCTCCACAATGCAGTTGTATCCCAATACAAGTTATTTTTGTATTTAATTTTATACAGCTTTAAAAACTGTATGTTGCATTATTTTGTAAAGCAGGTAACAATAACAGTGATGGCAGAGACTTTTTGAACCTGGAACCATGAATAAATAAATAAAACATGACTGAATGATCACTGACTCTTTGTTTTTCTGCAAAAAAACGTGTTGGATGGGGTTGAGGTACAACTAATGAACATATATACCATATATATGGACATGATCAACAGACTCCACTTTCCTGGGTGTGTGGGTCTTGGGGTGATGACTTCCTCTTTTTGCATGAAGCTGCAGTTTATAAGATCGCGCCTCACTCATTAAGAGTTTGGCGCATTGAGCAGTTAGTAACTGAGTGAGGAAGCCGTTTACAGCTGAGATCCAGAGTCGGTTTTGGTGCCGTGCAGCATTTGAAGATGTGGAAGAGTGTCTCTGCCAGTCGCTGGATTTGTCTGCTCACCCTGGCTGTGGTGATGCTCCTCTACGTATCAGAAGGTAAAACTGAACTCATGTTTGAATGTTGCTCACTGTGTTGTATGAAATGTGTGCAGGTATCTAACACAGAAATGGGGGAAACTGTCACCAAACACTGGAGAGAGAAACTCCCACCAGACAGCGACAAGGCCAAAAAGATTACAGAGAGTTTATTATAAAACCAATTAATAACTTTACTAATAAAGTTTACTACCAAGTGTGCATGATTGCTATCATTGTTGTTTGACCTGGCTCATGTTAAACCCTTTGTATGTGCGTACTCGCAGATACCTGATACCACATTTTAGGCAGTATTGGAGGAACTACCGATACAGATATCAGTATTAAAACAGCACTAATATTATGAAAATCTTACATCTACATGAATGTTCCTCAAGTCAATAAACTGCCATACGCAAAAACCACTCTACCTATTATTTAATACAATTTCAATCTGGTTTATCTAATTGGTATTAACCATAATCATGGGCTCTATCCTTTAAAACACAGAGTTATATGGTTAATTTAAAGACATTTCTTTGCTAAAAATAAAAGAAAATCTGGCCAGTCTGGATAACAATTGATGTAATGCTGAATAATGACAGTATTTCCTCTCTTTGTGTGCGTGTGTCTGGTGTTGCAGTGGATTCCTACTTTTCAATTGGAGGTTCACCCTGCTGTCACCGCAGCAGCTACTACAAGATAAAGGGAATCAAAGTGTGTCGTGAACAAAACCCACGACTTGGCTGCCACCACCATGCCTTCCTGTAAGCACGGCACACTGAACACTTTCTCCACTGTTGACTTCATCCTGAAATAGAATAAAATACTCTATTACCATTCTTGTGCTTAATTTAGGTCTGATTTGGTTGCACAAGGGAATCAGTGAAATTAAACAGATAACAGAATAATAACTCTAAATTCAAAATTACCAAACATTCAGATAATGAAATTGTCTAATTAGTTTGTGTCTCTGTTTCCAGGATCATCACCAAAACAGATAAAATAATGTGCGTCAATCCAGCTGCTAAGTGGCTCAAAGACAAGAGAGACATGGTGAGAATCAGACATCGACCCAGTCAGTCACAAACACAACAGCAAAGTCTGAATTCATGTGTTAAATACCAGAGCAGATACATGACTGGTTATTACTGCTTTTATGAAAGTAAAGAATCTCAATATAATTGAGAATTGCTATAATTAATAATTAATTAAGTACAAGCATAACTTAGATTAACCCTTTCACACTCTTTTCTCTTAAAGAAAAGTTTCCCAGAAGTCACCATGATCGTTCAATAACTTCTGGGTTTTAAATAGAAACATATAAATAGCAGAGTCAGTTGGTCAGTACAATAAATTAACAAGTGTTCTTGAATTTGTATGAACTGATTGTACATTTCTAACTTTTCACTCTCCTACTCTACACTACAGAAAGAACTGGACTGCCCTCCTGTCATATCGTTTTATCCAGCCCTGGAAGATGATGAGGCATGATCTAAACGTCTCAACCAAACAGCTGCTCAGAAAATGTTCTGCTGATCAACTATTTACTCCTTTTACATAAAAATTCCAATAAAATGTGTTTATGTATTTCCTTTTATACAGTTTTGAAACATTATTTTGTAAAGTAATTGTTAATAACAGTGAGACTTTTTGAAACTGGAACCATGAATAAATAAATAAAACATGACTGAATGATCACTGACTCTTGTTTTTCTGCATGTATGATGTCTGGTTTGGGCATTTCTGTGCTGACTCAGTGACACATTTCTTTTAAACTAGACTGTAATAAAGCAACAAGCAGGTAACAATAAGAAAAAAACGTGTTGGATGGGGTTGAGGTACAACTAACCTGAACATATATGGACATGATCAACAGACTCCACTTTCCTGGGTGTGTGGGTCTTGGGGTGATGACTTCCTCTTTTGCATGAAGCTGCAGTTTATAAGATCGTGCCTCTCTGGTTCACTCAGAGTTAAAATTTGGCGCGTTGAGCAGTTAGTAACTGAGTGAGGAAGCCGTTTACAGCTGAGATCCAGAGTCGGTTTTGGCTTCACGCAGCGTTTGAAGATGTGTATGACTCTCCGCTGGATATGCCTGCTCACCCTGGCTGTGGTGATGTCTTTCTCTCCATCAGAAGGTACAGATCTTAATTACTGATTCTGCAGCATTTTGAATATAGAGTAAGTAATAATAGCCTAACTATTGCGGCTCATGTCTTATTGCAATAAGTACGAGCCACAATATCTCTTTGTGGGTTTTGATAAATTGCTATCTAATAGATGAGGTTTTTTTTTTTTTACCCAATAATGCACAAAGTAAACTGCATATTATTTAATAGTATTTTAGGTCAATTTTTTTTGCTGATTTGACAGCTAAACCTTAGTAAAGTGATTTTGAGACAAGCTTATTGTCTCTGCATGTGGGTATATTCTTGGTTAATTTATTTAAGCTATTTCCAAAATATGTTCTGTTTAAAACTAAAGTTAATTTGTGGCTTCAACAGTTTGAATTAGTCAAATCCAGTGGGTATCCTCCAAATTTACTGTATTTTTAGTGCTAAATTCCCTCTAGTGCAGCTCAGCAAGGAAATATTGTGTGAAAAAGAAAATTTTTATTTGACTAAAAACACTAACTTTCTTTAAATGTAAATATGGGTAAGTGAGTAACGTGTTAAAATTTGAACTTAATACTATTCAGCTGTCAAAATCCAGAGGAAAGAAGGGAGGAGTTGTTTAAAAAGTGTCTAAAAACACAGATCTGAGTTGCTTTTTGGTGGTTACAATGCGCTCTCAGCAATACACGTATTATTTGTGGTGTTTCTGCATGTTTTCCTTTATTTACAGTTAATATTCTTCTAAATTTCTGGTGTAAGAACCTATAACTTCATTGTGTTTCCTCACTTCTGAAATTAAGTAAAAATTAAACAATGTTATTCCTGAATAACAGCAGCATTTCTCTCTTTCTCTGTGTGTGTTGGTCTGTCACAGCGGATGCATTTATACAGTCTAGCTGCTGTTATGGAGGTAAGCGTAAGACAGATGAGCCAATCACACTGTGTTATGAACAGCGATCAGGACTGGGCTGCTACAGCAACGCCTACGTGTAAGTACAACATGCTCCAAACATTTACACATAAATAAATCTAAATGAAATATTTCTGTGCTCATCTGGCTCTAGTTTCTACGATGGATTATTAGGGCCATACTAAGAGAAATGTTTTTTTGGGGGGGGAAATACGAGAATAAAGTCATAATATTACGAGAATAAAGTCGTAACATTACGAGAATAAAGTCGTAATATTACGAGAATAAAGTCATAATATTACCAGAATAAAGTCGTAACATTACCAGAATAAAGTCATAATATTAGGTCTACAAGAATAAAGTCGTAATATTATGAGAATAAAGTCGTAATATTATGAGAATAAAGTCGTAATATTACGAGAATAAAGTAGTAATTTTATGAGAACTGTCAGCCTGTTGGCTCAGCCAGCAACACTGTTTAACGACGAAATGATCAATACGTTAGTTTACCTGTTGACTGTACGGTACGACTAAGACAAACAGCGGCTGCTGGGCTCAGACTGAGGCTGCTGTTTTGTTGATCTGCTCACGTCAGATCTTGATAACTCTATCGAAAGTTTTTTTCTCATTAAAACAACTTTTTTACTTGTATTATTATTACATTATTCTCGTATTGTTACGACTTTTTTCTCATAATATTACGACTTTATTCTCGTAATAAAAAAAAAATTAAAAAGTAGTCTTAGTCTGGCCCTAGTACTCCGTCGTAAGTTTCATTTAAAGACGCAATTAACTTTAATCTTTTGTTGATTCGAGAGGCCCCTATGGTTAATACTATACAGGACCAAATACACTCTACTACTGGATCCTTGAGCCTAATTTGACTCGTATCTGTTTGCAAAGGAGGGCATTATATGTTTGATTCCCAACTCTTAAAATCTTGGTAACAACAAAATGAAGTTCATGTAGTGAAAACATCTGATTGTTTTATTCTTCTGTTTCCTGTTTCCAGGGTTAAAACTGTGTCGGGTAATTGGATCTGTATCAAACCAAAGTCCCCCTGGATAAAAAAGAAGAAACGGATGGTGAGAATCAGCTATTAAACGAGTCTTACACCGCTAGATGCTACTAAATCCTACACACTGGTCCTTTAATTAAGTGTCTTAGCATGACAGAATCTGTTAATTAGCAATAAAACATAAAAGTACAGCTGAGCCTGAAGTATTGGACTAATTAAATGTTGACCTGATGATGGCAACATTAAATATGTTCAATTATTTAACATATTTAATGAATGTTTTACTTAAATATTCTTTAATAAAGTTATTTGCTTACAAAAGCAAGCTTCTAATACCTTTGCATATCCATATTGGTGCACACTCCACATTGAAAAGGTTTATTTTCATTATAAGTTCAAACATTTACTTTATTGGCCACCATATCTGTAATCAGTGAATTTTTCTTTTGAGTACTTCTGAAAAAGGCATCAACAAGTGACAAATAAACCTTTCTGTCTAATTGCTTGTTTCCTTTTCTCTCTACTCTCCCTCCGCCACAGGGATTGCTCTGTCCTCTGGCAGTTTTGATCACCAAAGGCAGGTTTGAAGTCCTGGATGAAGATGCTGCAGCATAAGTAAAACATCAAGACAAAGGAGCAACATTGAAGCTTTTATATGTCATAAAAAAATATAAATTTAAAAAGCTGTAATATTAAACAGTTGTGTTTTTGGCATTTTACCTGGAACAAAGAATAAATGATGTTAAATGGATTTAAAATGCAGTTGACTCGTGTTTTTCACACATACATTGACGGGCAGTTCGGCATCAATTGGCCAATAATATGTGGACATCTCCTCTTCTCATACTTTTGTGTACTTTTTGTCTGGGGCTGTTTTTAAAGTTTCAATGAAAAGAAATCTAAACGCTCCAGCAGTTTGTCCCTTTCCTGTTTCAACATGACCGTCACCCAGTGCACAAAGCCAGCTCCATAAAGACGGTTACCTGGTAAAGGTTTACCCAGTTTAACATGGAAGAACTTGATTGGCCAACCAGTCAAACCTGATCACCAGTTGATTAGACCTCAAGGATGCTGTTGTGGCTGAATGGGATCAAATCCCTGCAGCCAGGTTCTAAAATGTGAAACCTGATGAGACACCCACACCATTAAAAACAAACCAAAAGAACACAAAAGTATGAGGAGATAGATATAGATATAAGCGTATATGATTCTGCTGATTACGGTTCATGGTTGGGTGTGGACATTAGGAATGTGTTGGTGTAAACAGTGAACCAGAGCAACAGCAGCATCACCACTAAAGAGGATGAACCCTTATCTGAGATAAACAAAAAAACAGAACATATATGGACATCCAGGAACACTGCACATGATAACTATGGTTCCTCTTTTTGGCGTGAAGCACCAGTATATAAGAGCACACCTTTCTGGTTCACTCATCATTAGACTTTGGCGAGTCAAATAACGAAGCAGTTTACAGCTAAGATTCAGAGTCAGTTTTGGTGCCCTGCAGCATTTGGAAGATGAGTCTCTCCGACAGCCGCTGGATTTGTCTGCTCACCCTGACTGTGGTGATGCTCTTCTCTGCATCAGAAGGTATAGCTGTTGTTTTTTTTGAGACCACCTATCATTTAACAGTATTTACCAGTAGAGTTTCTTGACTTCATATGACATAAAAGTCCTAATTATAACCTCTGCTTTCTTTTTTGTACATCATAACTGACTAATTCTGTGCCATTGTGCAACCATCAACTCTCTTCCATCTTTTTTATTTTATTGCTATTTTGTTTTTTGTGCAGTGTGGTTGTTGCTATAGTTTTGTTCATATTTGGATGTAATATTTAAAAAAAAACCTGTCCAACACATGGTCTATGTGCATATCTGTATTGCCTTTTATATTGATATTCTCTGTGTACCTCCCCCTGCAGTTCATTCGAACGTCTTAAGAATAAGATGTACCTGTGAGAAGAGCTTTAAACATAGATGGATTGATGACATTGAGAGGTGTTTCGAGCAGAAACCGCGACTCGGCTGCAATCACCACGCCTTTGTGTGAGTACAGCATGCTTTGATAAAAATGTCTTCAAACATACATCAGCAATAAATCCAAAATAGTCACTGTGGGACTTAAGAAGAGGTGTTCTAGAAATAAGCATCAGTAAAATTTAAAAAGTCTAATTGTTTTATTTCTCCTTTTCCTGTTTCTAGGATTATAACCACCAGCAATAAAACATTCTGTGTCAACCCAAATGTACCATGGCTGAAAGGCATGATGGACACGGTAAGAATTAGGGATTAAAATACGCTCAGGCGCACACCCTGAGTCAACCAACCTGATTACACTACAGCTGAAAGGTTAAGGAACGTTGCAGACTCACAGGTTGTGTCCAGTGTGTGTCCAACTAAGCTGCTTTTGCTCACAACCACAGTTTAATGAACTATATCCGAAACCACAATAAAGGAAAAGAAAATGTTTAATTTCTCTGTAGAGTCGCGTTGTCAGACACTAATTACTACATCATGATTGTTTCTTGTGGCTTTCAACTACTGCTTTTATAATGTCCTTAAATAAAGTTCTTTAAAAGTATATATTAAACTGTCAAGCAGAACAACAGATCACTTAAACAACTTCACAAGGATATAATGAATTTTATGTC